GAGCAGTGACGGGATGAGAGCCCTCGACTTCCACTTCTGCTGATGGGCACAGTTGGTGGCCTCTGGGGGTTGGCTAGAACCCAGCATCCGAGGAGAGATGCTTTGAGCTGGAGGCAGCTGAAGGAGAATGTGGCAAAGAATGGAGGCATTTGGGGTCCTATATTCGGCTCAGACCAGAGCTGTTCTTGGGTTGTAAGATGTCCCCGGGCCTGAGTTTGGGGGCAGGTGCAGAGTGAGGAAGATGGCTCCCTCGCCGTCTCTGGGAACAGATGGCGGGGCCTTCCCTGTGAGCAGCCAGCCTGCCAGCTGATGCTCAAACATCCTGGCTCTCAACCCTCGCAGAGTGGGCTGAGGCTACCTGGGGCTTTAACCCAATTCCCCCCCCCCCCCCAGCTCTGTAAAGAGGCAGAGAGTTGCATTTTCCTTTACAAACAAAACAAACGAAAAACACTTTCAAAAAAGGGGATAGGAGGGAATTCCCTGGCAATGCAGTGGTTAGGACTCCGCACTTCCACTGCAGGGGAGACGGGTTTGATCCCTGGTCAGGGAACAAAGATCCCGCAAGCGAAGCCGAGCGGTGCGGCCAGAAAAAAAAATGTTAACGAAAAAGGGGATAGGAGAGACTTTGCAGGCAAGCTGCAAAAGTTTTCCCTTAAACCGTTTGACTTTGGGTAGAAAAAAGTCTAGGTTCCCAGAGCCATATGGTATTGGGGGTCATTGAGTTTGGGGTCTAATGTTGCCAATAGATTTTTCTGGAGAAAATAAAAAGTCATATTTTCATATGAAGCCTCCTCATTTTGTTGGTTCAATTATCAAAAAAATTTGTAAAAGCCGTATGAGCCAAACCAAACACACCCAAGAAACTCATTTGGTTTCCAGGCCTCCAGTTTGCAACCTTTGGAGAGCCCTTGCCTCTTGTAGAGACGGGGAAGCTGAGGTGTGGAGATGAAGAGACTGTTACCTGGAGGAGCAGCAGATGGCTTGCAAGCACTGGGCCTGCAGCAGGTACCATCAGTGCCCCACCACCTCCCCACCCACCTCCCCGATTCCGTGGGTTCTCTTCACCCCCAAGAACAATGTCTGCAGCTCTGTGCCTAAGTTTTTTCTGTTTTTTTTGGTCACATTGCATGGCTTGTGGGATCTTAGTTGCCCGACCAGGGATCGAACCCGAGCCCTCGGCAACGAGAGCATGGAGCCCTAACCACTGGACCACCAGAGAAGTCCTCTAAAGGTCACGTCGTCTGTACAAACTGGAAGAACTGAGAAGTATCACCCCCTGGGAGCAGCCCTCAACCAATGCGAGTTGGGAGTTGGAGTATAAATGCCCCGGCTCCCTTGCCCCACTGGGTGGGATAACGCTGACATGCATGTTCTACATCTTTCCCAGAGTGTCTCCGGGATACTGAGATCCAGTTGCCCACTGTAGTGGCTGGATTAATAACGCACTCATTACTGGTTGCCCTCCCTTCCCTGTCTTGTTGCCCCGTGTCTCCATCAGGGTTTCCTGCGCTTCCCAAATAAGCTAGCTGTGCTTGAATCCTGTAGGCAGGGTCTGCCTTGGGGAGAACCTCAACTTAGCCCAGGTCTGAATAGCTGTGATCTGTACAAAGAAGAGAGCGCCTCTCTGGGGTGCTTTCTGATGCAAACATTATAATGACGGGCGTGGGATATTTCTCCATGCAGAGTGAGGTATCCTATGACAACTTCGAGAACTCTGGGCCATATTAAGGGCACCTGTTGGTTCCAGGCAGGCAAGAGGAAGAAGACAGAAGAGACTGTCTACACCTCTCTGAGGTCCAGGAAAAGGCTATGCCTGGAATTAGAGATGCTGGTTCAAATACATTTGGAAGACTAGAACATTTCGGCCTTCCCCAGCACAAGTAATTACTGGGACTGTGTCTCTGAAAATCACCTAAATGCAAAATCATTTGCATGCCATTTCTATTTAATAATAATTTTATTAAAAATAAAGTTCAATTCAGTGATGAGAAGGAGCTGGGTAAATTATCTCCCAATCACTTTCTTTTTCCTTTTTCCTTCCCTCTGCCCTTCTCCCCTTTGCTCTGTCCTTCCCTGTCCCTGCAGGCCTGAGAGGCAGAAACCAGCTGGGTGACACCACACAGCTGCGGCCACCATTTAACTCATTCTTGTCCACTGACAGTGGGACAACGGAAAGTCCTAATTGTGAATTTTCTCACAAATCTTCTGACTTAAGGAGGCAATGATAAAGCCTATTGACAGGGTCTTACCCTTTGCGATGCTAGGGGCCCCTCTGACATCTGGGGAAGCCTACAGACCTTTTCTCAGAAAGCAGATTAAGTACATAAAATGAAATACAGAAAAATCAAAAAGGAAGCCAATTATGCTGAAATGCAGTTATAAAAATATTAAAAACCCAGATGTGTGATAAATGCACATTTATTAATGCATTAAATGTGATCTAGTGGCAGGTCTAATAACAACCATAATTTCCAAGTCATGCCGGGCATATTTCAAGATACCTGCAACAACGATATGACATGATATAAAAATATCTGTGAGTTTTCTTGGTGATAAACTCACAGATACTCCGAACATAACTGTGCACTTGCTAAACTGCCGCCAGAGGTGGGTGAAAATAAATATGTGATTTTTTCCCAAACAAATGGACAGACCCCTTTGGGGATTAGCCTCTCACCCCAGATATGAGGCATGGGGTGGAGAGAGCCATTTCTTTTTGGCCTTCTAGTTTCTAGAGGAGATGTCAGGCTTTTGTCTTTCTGGAAAATTGCTCAATTGGCCCTGCAGCCACATTCTTAGGGACCGTTTATTGAACACCTACTGTGCTCCAGGCACTTTATTTACTTTAAAAAAATCTATTTAGACCTTCAGGTCCAGGGAGCTGGTTAATCAAAATCCTCAGCTCCTAGCACGTAATGAAACCTGGACCAGGTAAGACCCTGCTTGGGTCTTATTCCCTCTTTCTCTCCCCACCATCATCTCCAATCCTCACTTTCATTCCCTTCCCCCTACAGGCATCCCCTCTGTGGTATGTGCTTGCTACGCGTCTTTACATATGCACATAGCCGTGTAAAACAGGAAATGCGTTTTCTTGTGAGTGGGTTTTGAGTTTCCATGACCAGTATTGTGTCATAAACCTCACTCATTTATCTCTTCACTCCACACAATGTCACGGAGAGCTATTGCTCTTGCTGTATATGGATTTTGTGCATTGCTTCTTCCTGCCACATGGTATTTCATAACGTCCATCCACCTTTCTTTTCTCATCCATTCCCCTAAGGATGGACACCCAGGTTGTGTCCAACTCTCCTCCAAGCTGTCCCCAACAACAACTCAGTAGTGAGCGTCCTTATAACGATGTCCTTCTGGACCTGGGCGTGGGACCATTCCTCTGGGCTCTATACTTGGGGCGGGGGGGGGGGTGTCACAGCGCATATGCCAATTAAATTGCACTAAACCAAATCAGATTCCTTTTCAGAAAAGCTGCTGCAGTTTACACACCCATCAGCTGTGCCTGGGATCGTCCCTCTCCCTACATCTTCATCAGCATTTGATACATTCACTTTTTTATCGTTGGCCATTTAGATGGTTATAAAGGATCAGGCTCTTTATACACCATTAACAGGTGTTTTTGGTGCCCCAAGTACCAGCTCCCTGGAGCAACTCTGGTATTGGCCCCAGCAGTGATGCATCGGCCTGTGTGAGTTCGGACTCACCCTGCAGTTGTGTCTCATCTCAAACACGCAGCATACATCTCTCCATTTTTTCTGCCTCAAGGCCTTTGGAAAGGCCTGGGAACCTGCTCAGCCTGGAAGCAAAGTCCAGAAATGTGGGGGAGATAACTGCACTGGGGACAAATGCTCAACTCAACTAGTGGAGAATAAAACCCCAGCCTCTTGTGTTCCCAGCAGACAATTCTAGGAGGCATCCCATGTCTCTTAGAGGTCCTGATGGAATCCAGCCCCCAGTTTCCTACATTACAGATCTCAATAATTCATTCTTGTGGCATTTCCTCCTTCCCCTGTTTCTCTCTCCTTCTGTTGCCTCAACCCTTCTTCCTGAGCTCACCTCCCAAATAAAATACCTACACCCAATCTAAGACAAATACATTGTTTCCGTCTGGAAGGTACAAAGCGATCTCCAGTGGCTTAAGTGACACCTACCAACATGAATTACTCTGTTACAAAGAGTAATTACTCTGTTACAAAGGCCTGGTAACTCTGTTACTCTGTTACAAAGGCCTGGTATCACCAGGCCTCCAATGCTAAGAGAGGGAAGGATGAAAAGGAAGGTTTTTAAAAATCTCAAGCTAACATCACATCTTATAAGCCCATACTAGAGTTTATACAACCTAAAGCCTTTTGAAGTAGGAACCCTAGAAATGCCAAGAGCAATGGCAGTACCATCACAAAAGTATAGAGCTTCCATTGATGATGTCTCTGAAAGGGAAACAGTCGCTTGAATGCTTGTATTTATTTATTATTATTTTTTTAACATCTTTATTGGAGTATAATTGCTTTACAATGTGCTTCTGCTGTATAACAAAGTGAATCAGCTATACATATACATATAACCCCATATCCCCTCCCTCTTGCGTCTCCCTCCCACCCTCCCTATCCCACCTCTCTAGGTGGTCACAAAGCACCGAGCTGATCTCCGTATGCTATGTGGCTGCTTCCCACTTGCTATCTATTTTACATCTGGTAGTATATATAAGTCCATGCCACTCTCTCACTTCATCCCAGCTGACCCTTCCCCCTCCCCGTGTCCTCAGGTCCATTCTCTACATCGGTGTCTTTATTCCTGTCCTGTCCCTAGGTTCTTCAGAACCTTTTTTTTTAAGATTCCATATATATGTGTTAGCATATGGTATTTGTTTTTCTCTTTCTGACTTACTTCACTCTGTATGACAGACTCTAGGTCCATCTACCTTACTACAAATAACTCAAATTTCGTTTATTTTCATGGCTGAGTAATATTCCATTGTATATATGTGCCACATCTTCTTTATCCATTCATCTGTCGACGGGCACTTAGATTGCTTCCATGTCCTGGCTATTGTAAATAGAGCTGCAATGAACATTGCAAGAAATGACTTTTCCAGATTTAGGTCCTCGAAATCTCCCTCTACATGCTGGGTAGAGAATTGGGTAATGATTGGAAGGGGCAATAGAAGAAGTGGGGGTCTGGTTTTATAGTCAAGGCAAGCAACCAGCCGGGAAGCAGAGATGGTGTGAAGTGGATAGATTCTTAATATCTTTTTGAGGAAACAGGGTTGAGAGCTGCTGGCTGGAGTGGCGGGGGGAGGGAGGGGACGAAGCAGGGACCCCACTGATACTGGACACCGGCCTAAGTCAGAGAATGCCAGGGAGGCTGGTGGGTCACAGGACGATTGCACACTCCCAGGGGGATAGTGGGATCATTTATTAGTTCATATTTGTCTGTATATTCTCTCAGAAAAGAGCCTTTATAATCCTCAAATGAAGCATGAAATTTTGAGCTGAAAGAGGCCATGTAGTGCAAATGAAGACGGAAATGGTTAGGATGGGTGGACCAGGGCCATTAGTCAATTACCAGGAGCTGGAACGTCAGCATCTCTCAGAGAGTGGGCACATCTGGTGGTCACAGAGAGTCTTTCAATGGCCAATCTCTGACTCCAGCTGAGATGGGTTCTTTTATTTCAACCTTAAAATAAAAGCCCTTTCCGTGAAGACAGTAGGGTACCTACCATCAGGTTAATTTCTTCAAAAAGGAAGAAAGAACAAAAGGGCATATGGAAGGCGTCTTAGGCAGACTATCAGTGATTCTGATAGTACTCACTCAGGCATTATTTAAACCTGAGGCAACTTCAACAGTCTTCAGAGATGTTCTCACAGCTGTGTGTGCACTGGGAAGAAAGGTAAGACTGGGGAGTGCCGGGAGGCCTGGGGAAGGGTAGGAGAGGCCAAACATTCCTCCCAGGAAGCGAGGCCGACAGACCAAGATTAGATGGAAGTGTCACCTTCTGGACATTTGATATTTGCCCCTCTCTTTTATCTGAACATTCTTTTCCGGTGGCTCAGACAAAGCATCAAAAGTGATATTAAAATGCTAGTTAGGAAACATCACCTGCAACAAACCCTGTTCATCAAAATGTTAGCGCTCTCTCCGGGGGCCTCGTGTTGGGTTTGTCAACAAGCTGAGGCCATGGAGCTGGGCCTCCGTGAGGCCCAAGAGCATGATTTAATTAATATCCTACCCATAATACCTTGCTGGGTTTATGCAAACAAATCCCTGTCACTCCTCACCTTAGGATTTACCCTCTCCTTGATGCAAGTGTTTATTTACACACAGTTTGACCTCATCATGATGTTCAGCAGATGTGGGTCTTACTTATTTGCATTGTTTTGTGACAGTTGCAAAATTCATTAGCAGCTCAGGGAGAAATCCTCTGTGGACTGCCCCAAAGATAGGTGAAGTAAGAGGGTTCACACTAATTAATCCTCCCTCTTCGGCAATGCTGGATATTAATGATAACATAGTGCCCCTCTCAGAAACTGCCTGGATCCGTTCAAAATCTTGTGGTCGCAAGTGACAGAAACGGACTCTTGGCTACCTTGGGCAGAAGGGAATGTGATGGGATGCTATTGGGAGTTTAGAGCAATGAGGGAAGGCAGGAAACCTAGTCAGGAACCCAGCTGGGCAGCAGGCACTCTAGAGGTCAGGATGGGGACCACTCCTGGGGCAAATGAAATCTCCTCCAAGCCCTCTTCTTGCTTTGTGTCACCCTGCTCACCATTTGAGATTCTCCCGGAAGATTAGGGCCCCCGCCTGCCCTTTGATGGATTAAGGTAGTGAAGGAGAGAGCTCATTGGCTTCCATAGGGAGTGGACAGGCCCCTTGATTATCCCCCCTCTCACCACTCACACAACATGACATGGGAGAGGAAATTACCCACAAGCAAAACCGGCGGGCGGCTAGAAGAGGGAAGCGGGCGTGCAGGGCCATGGTGCAAGAATACCCAGCACGCTCCCTGTTGTCGGTAAGCCAAGGCCAGTTTCCAAGCCCTGTAGGCATCGAATGTTTTGCTGCAAAATGTCATATGGAAGAAGAAAATGAGAGGAACTGGGCTTATTCCACTCAACAAAGAAGGCTCAGGTTGGGATGGGGTAATGGCGTATGAGCCCACCATCTCTCTGTGAAGGCAAAAGCATTGTTGGGCTGGGGACTTTTGCTCATTCCTCAGACCAACTTAATTGTAAGACGTGTGGTGTGGGGACTGTCATCCCGTTTTACACAGTCGAGAAAGATGGGCCTTACTCCTCACGCTTTTCACTCTGTGGCAAGCTACTTCTCCAGGAGGAACTTTCCCTTGACAAGTACTTATCTGGAAAATACCGGCCAGCTTGTTTGCAGCTAAGCCCAAAGCTAAAATCGAAAAGATGGGCTTTCTGACAGACGTACTGATCAGGCAACCAAGTGATAAAATGACCTCATACATTCAACACGCTTTTACTGCGTATCTGCGATGTGCAGTCGAGAGAAGAGCGGGAAGAGGGTTTTATGGGCAGCGTTTAAGAGCAAGGCAGGTGGAGACGGAGGCTTCTCGAGTCCCTGGGTTGTCCTGGGGCAGGCGCCCCTTCCTCCTCTGCAGCCGCTGATCCCCGGCACAGGGGGCGTCTTGTCTGTAAGAGTCCGAGGGGGCACAGCAATGACTGCAAAGGCTCATCAGACAAGGGTACTTTCGTTGAAGGTCAAGGCTGAGGATGGGGCTGAGGAATGGAAGGACCTTGAAGTCCCGAAGGCAGAAAGGGCAGGGCTGGGCCAGCCCTGAGCACACTCTGTCCTTTCCACTTGAGAAGACTTCTTGGAAGGAAGCAAGGTTTTGGAAGCTTTTGAGAGCAAAGAAGAGGACATGGTAGATAGCCCGGAGGGAAAGGGACCGTCCCCTCTGCCTCCTCGCCAGCTCCCAGGGCTTCCAATCCCCTCAGCATGATGACGACTTCCAAATGTGGATCTCATGGCCAGACCACTCTTTGACTCCAGACTTACACATCCAACAGTCTCAAAATCCACAGGATAGAGGTGTATTTCTCACTCACGCAAATGTCCAGAGGTAGGCAGTTCAGGGTGGGGTTGGCCATTCTTCTCCAAGAAATCCACAGGGACCCAGCCTCCTTCTATCTTGTTTCATCTTCAGTGGTCACTTCTCAAGGTCACTTTATGGTCCAAAATGGCTGCTGTGGCTCCAGTTATCACATTCACATTCCAGGCTGCAGGAAAGATGAGGGTAAGCCTCCTCCCTTTAAGGGCACTTCCTAGAAGTTGTGCATATCATTTCCACTTATATCTACTGGCCAAAACTTACTGGTTATAGCTAGCTGTAAGGAATGCTGGGAAATGTTGCCTTTATCCCAAGTAGCCACGTGGTCAGTTAAAATTTGCGGTTTTGACTATTAATAAGGAAAAAGAGATTAGGGTTCAAACCCCTAGGAGTCTCTGCCAGAACCCCAATCTAAATGGGGTTCTTTTCTTATTTGTTTCCATAGCTTTCTCCACCCCTCCTTCAATAATTCATCCCATTTGTACTGGCTTAGAGTCTATTTACATTGCTAGAATTTTGAGCTACCTGATGGCAGTGATCTGACCAGTTTTGATCTTTTCTTCATTTCCAGTGCCTAGGCAGTGGAGTGAAATTTGCCTCTCACGTGGGTTCCCACAGCATAGGGGACATACTTATGTTACAGCAATCGCAAGAATGCAGTGTGTGTGTGTGTGTGTGTGCGTGTGTGTATGTGTGTGTGAATTTTTCTTTTTATTGGGTTATAGGAAATGTCACCTTGGACTATGCCCCCCAGGGAATGTCTACCCTAATCTTCCTGGAATGGTTTTTGTGTTGTGGTGTTTTTTAAATTGAGGTTTTAAATTAAAAAGAATACATTTTTATCATTTAAACATTAATAATGCAGATATTTTACTGTAAAAACTGAAGCTCGGGACTTCCCTGGTGGCGCAGTGGTTAAGAATCCGCCTGCCAATCCAGGGGACACAAGTTCGATCCCTGGTCTGGGAAGATCCCACATACCGTGGAGCAACTAAGCCCATGCGCCGCAACTACTGAGCCTGTGCTCTACAGCCTGTGAGCCACAACCACTGAGCCCGCGTGCTGCAACTACTGAAGCCCGTGCACCTAGAGCCCGTGCTCTGCAACAAGAGAAGCCACCGCAATGAGAAAGCCTGCGCACCGCAACGAAGAGTAGCCCCCGCTCGCCGCAACTAGAGAAAGCCCGCACGCAGCAACAAAGACCCAACGCAGCCAAAAAAAAAAAAAAGACAAAAAGTGAAGCTCTCTAGGGGTAGACAACTGAATTGTTCATGCCTTCTCTATCCCTCCCTACTCTTTGCTCTGCCCCTTGACGTTGGGGCTTGGCCATTGACCTGCTTTGGTCAATGAGATGTTAGCAGAAATGAAGCAAACAGCACCCTGAAACGTGATTGTGCGGTCATGCATTCCCTCTAGTGTTGCTGCCATCACTGTGAGAAGAGCTCCCCCAAGGAAATGGCCACCCCTTCAGGTGGCCCATGACAGCAGACCTGACCCAGTCTGAAGAAGAGTTTTCCAGCAGAGTCCAGGCCAGATCAGCCAACCCACAGTCAACCCACAGATATGTGAGTATGAGCTGTTGTAAATCACTGAGGTTTGGGGCTGTTTGTTACGGTAGCAGTGGCTGACTAATACACTCCCCTTCCCCTGCCTCTCTCACTCCATTTTTACTCCTCAAAGGTAATTGTGTTCACGTCCTCTCAGACCCTTACTCTGCTTGTACACACGTATTTCTGTGTATGTAACTACCTCTGTGACTAAACTATGAACTTCTTAAAAGCTGGACTGGATCTTATTTATTTTTACTTTTTCCCCTTGGAACAGTGATTGAAAATACAGCAGAGTGGGAAGACAGGTTTTGGCACATACAATTTCTACTCAGTAATGTACTAGCTGTGTGACCTTGGCTAAGCCATGTGACTTTGCTGTGCCTCACTCCTTTTATCTGTGATGTGGGAATATGAAAATCTACCTGACATGGTTGTAGGGAGGATTCTAATTTGTAAGCGTGACTCTCCTAGCAGGGCACCTGGCGAAGAGCGTGCACTAAAGAGCTGGCATCTTTTCGAGTAGGTACAGAATACTTGTATGTTGCTGTTTAAGCGGATGCGCCTGAGATAAATAAAGAGCTGGTGCGGACAATGCGGTGGTTCAGGTCTCTCGAGCGATGGAAGTCTCCGTCCAGCCTTGAGCGCCCTCCTTGTCTCGTCACTGTTCTTTGCTTTGAGTGCATCTAACCTCACAGCCAAGTTTCATGAGAGAACAAGCAGCTTGTCCTTTGGGTGTCAGCTGAGGGAATGGAAAGTGCATACTGGTCCACCCATCAGGAGCCCTGGGCTCTGGGGGTTACCTCAGTCCATTGGGCAAACCACTCAGCTGTCATTGCTTGAGCCCAACACCAGCCCACGAGCCACGGTGATGCCGTTATCCCCACTTTGCTGATGAGGAAACTGAGGCATGGAAAGGTTTGATGACTTACCAAACAACACAACATCAATAACTGGCAGCGACAAGAGCAGACTCGTAACCTAGTGTTTTCCTACTATACCTCACTGCCTCCCAGACTGTCAGGAAAATTATGTCATCTGACCCAAGAATTCTCCTCTGGAAGCTCCTCCCAGCCTGTCTATTTGAAGATAAAAACAACCACAAATTCAGTTTACATCTTCTTTTATTCCCTAGCCTATTTGAGCCAAGGCTGAATGGTGCCAATTTGCCTATGGTGGTTTTTATGATGTGGGCTGGGTTCACTGGGGACTGCTCTGAAACCATCAAATTCGTTTCAATTAGAAGTGTAACTTAATGTCCAATTTTCCAACCAGATTCCCTGGGTAAAAGAAGACCATTTTGTTTGCTGAGCTGCGTCAACCCGATGCACACTATTTCTGGGTACCAATTATGCCCAGTTGTGCGCCCCGGCTAAGGCATTTTCTCCAAGTTAAAGGGAGGCACAACTCAATCAAAAGAGAGGTGGGAGAATCAGCATGGAAAATGGGGGCATGTGTGAAATTTGAACCAGGGTAGATCAGTTCCAGAACGTTGCCCAGGGATTCCTAAAAAGAACCCAGGGAAAAGTAAATAGATCTCATCCTTATTAACACTCCAAGCCCTTAAATGAGTCCTGATGTTAATCCCTAAGAGATGCCTAAATGCCTATTTCAAATTGTTGCCCCACTTGTCTTATAAAACAACTTGTACTTCTTTTTATTCTCTCCATTTTCAAAAATCAAGGAAATTCCTTTTGCAGTCTAGGGCCAAGGAACAACCCAGGCCTGGCTTTGATTACTGAAAGCTGGAGAATTTTGAGTGAAAGCTGCAGCCGGCTGCCAGCCTTGTTATTAGCAATAAGCATCAAGCCGTTCTCGGGAGATCAGGGGCCTTTTGAGGATGTCTGACAGCGGCCCGTACTTCCCCTCGACAGCACCTGCAGTCACCGCTGGAGGTATGGGCCTGTCCAGAACTCCATTTCTCCTGGCTGAATCGGCAGCTGTAACCCACAGAGAAATAACCCCTTATGTTTGTATAATATCTACCTACAAGCGACTCCAATTGCCATCCTCCTGTTTAAGATTCTACAACGGTTCCCCATTGTCCCTCAGAGCAAGTCCAAGTGCCTGGGCTTATTTTTCTAGGTCTTGTGACAACAGACCTCACCTCAGTTATGCAGGGGCTTTTTTCTTTTCTTTCTTTTTTTTTAATAAACAGCTTTCCAGGCCAGACATTCTTCTGCAGCCTGCGAGGGTTATTATGGAGGGAGTAGAAAGATCTCCAGAGCTGGAAGGCTTGGTTCAAACCCCAGCTCTACCCCAACTATAGGACCAGGGCAGGCAAGTTACACTCTTTACCCAGGAATCAGTTCTTTTCTTGTGTAGAAAACGATGCATTCCGAGTAGATGATCTAATCTAGCATGTCCTTCGACAATCTGAAATCTTACAATTTTCCTCTCCATCGACTGTCTTTTTCTTCACTTCTCGCCTCTGTCTTAGAGGTTGGACGAGCTAAGATGTTTGCTTCCCAGCCTCTCTTTCAGCTGTCAGTGGCCAAGTGATGCAGTTCTGGCTGACAAGGCACAGGGAGGTCTGCTGGGGTGGCGGATGGCTGTGGCGCCCCACGTCACATGCCCTTAGCCCGCCTCTGATTTCAGCAGCAGCTGCAGTGGACGGTTTCGTGTCCTTTGGACTCACTTCACGCAGACAGCATCTAACTTCCAGTGTGCACTGTGCACCTTCTCGCTCCTTACTCTGGGGCTTCTCTGATGCTATGTAAGCTCACTGGACCTGCACACAAGTAAATCCTGGAGGTGTGGGGTTCATGCTCTTGGAGTCGACCCTCAGTCAATGGGGGACAGGGCCTGGTGGGGAGATGCTCCAGCCGCCTTCAGGGGTGGACAGGTACCCCTGCCTTTCAGGGGTACACTTCTGGGAGGCATTGCATACACCTCTCTGGAGGTCCAGGTGGAACTGAGCCCCCATTACCCATGGCAGCAAACTCCTTAGCAGACCTTCCTGTCTTTTTTTCCTTCCCTCTCTTACTCTCTGTTCTTCCTCTTCTGCTTTCCAGGAATCAGCTGCCGAATAAACTAGGCGTGCACAAGTCTTTGTTTTGGGCTTTGATTTTGCAACAACCCAAACTAAAATAGCTGGCATCACCTTCTCTCTTTCTTCTGTCTTGAATGCAGATGCAGATGTGATGGCTGGAGCCAAGCAGCCTTTTGGGGACCAGCGTGAGGGAAAGCCTAAGAAAGTGGCAGAAATGTCACCTCTGACATATTTGAGTGACTGAATCAACACCAGCAACTGGCAACTTGTAGATTTCTTGTTATATGAAACTTACCCCTATTTATTTAAGCTATCGCTACTTGGATATTTTCTGACTTATAATTGAACACAATCCTAATCGATATATTAGTTTTGCTCCAATATACTATAATCATTTTTAATCTCTGTGTCTTTGATCATGTTGTTCTCTTTACCTGAAACACCCCCTCCACTCCTTTCTGTTGTTCTACATTGTCTTTTTCTTTTATGAATCAGATGGGGGGACAAGGGGAAGATGGCGGAAGAGTAAGACGCGGAGATCACCTTCCTCCCCACAGATACACCAGAAATACATCTACACGTGGAACAACTCCTACAGAACACCTACTGAACACTGGCAGAAGACCTCAGACCTCCCAAAAGGCAAGAAACTCCCCACGTACTGGGTAGGGCAAAAGAATAAACAGAGACAAAAGAATAGGGATGGGACCTGTACCAGTGGGAGGGAGTTGTGAAGGAGGAAAGGTTTCCACACACTAGGAGCCCCTTCACGGGCGGAGACTACGGGTGGCGGAGGGGGGAAGCTTCGGAGCCGTGGAGGAGAGCACAGCAACGGGGGTGCGGAGGGCAAAGCGATGGATACTCACCTCCTCCTAACACCTTCCCTGAAAAGAACTATGGTCTTTTGCCTTCTATAAAATTCTTTAATACCTTTGTATATGGAGAGCCAAATGCAATCTTGTTTTCACCACTAGGTTACCCTACTTCCATCCAGCATTCATTAGACATTCTCTTGCAACGTATTTATTGATGTATGTGGACTCTATCCTCTGTTAAGGTGTTATCAGTTTTGTATATCTCACCGCAGGAAGCATTGACCTTCGTACATATACTGTTGCAATAATAATTGTAGTTAACAATGATCCTGCGCTCACTGTGGGCTAGGCACTGTGCTAACCTCATTTGTAGCATTGACTTACTGAGTTTTCACAACAGCCCTGCAAAGCAGTGTGATATCCCCATTTTTCAGATGAGGAAACTGAGACCCAGTGAGGTGGAGACACTAGCCCAAGTTCCCACAGCTTAGGAAGTCACGGAGCTGTGATTTCCACCTTGGTCTTTTTCCCTGCAAGGCCCAACTGCAAGAGCTCCCCTCTTCTGTGAGTCATGGATTTTAACCTGCATGAGGAATGGGTGTAAGGAAGGTTTGCAGAGGGAGCATTTTACTAAGAATCAGACTACCTGGGCCCTTGTACCCGCTTTGCTGGTTACTTTGTCATATAAACTCAACGAAGTGGCTTCACAGCTCTGAGTTTCAAAATCCACATTTACAAGTTGGGGATAAAAATAACTCCAGTTCTCACCTGAAGAGACTTTTGTGGGGATGGCATGAGTTCGAGTATGTAACAGTCTTTTGTGAACAGCGAGCGAAGCAGCTGGAGACAGAGGTGATGGGTGATATGGTGGAGATGGTATTGAGACCAATACTGGGTGGCAACACGTGGGCCTCAGTGACACCAAATCACAAAGTGATTCCAAATAGTCCAATTCTCATTGTGGAGAAGGTTAAGGATTATTACCTCAAGCAGTTACTTTCGAGTATATTTTCCTTTCTACCAGAGTGCTACATCATACAAGTCTGTCTAAACGAATTTAAAAGTACAATAAAAATTCTAAGTGGTACAAAAGCATGGTGTTATAATTTAAATGGTGGCATATTTGCCCTGATTGGTACATAAAATATTGGAAGGTCTTATAACTGATGTATCTCAGATTCAGTGAAATACCCCTGCCACAAAGGAAACATGTAAGGGTCATGAGAACATGTAATGAGGCATCTTACCTTATCTGGAGTCTCAGGGAGGGCTTCCCTCAGGAAGTGACATTAAGGTCCATGCAAGGAGAGGAAGCCGGGAAAGGACCACTGAAGTTTCCTAGAAAGGAGGAAAGGAAAATATAGCCCCCATTTCATCCTCTCACGGGATTTCCCTACCTGTGTCTTCGGCAGGCCGGACTAGCAGCTCCCTTACATGCAGTTCAAGGCCAGCTGTGTTGTATTTGGTGCTGATCCTGCTTCTTAACCTGGGGATGAATGACACTGGCTGAGGCAAGGAGAACGCAGCTTTTTGCCTCAATTTGCTGCTCCTAACCCTGTGCCCGATTCTGACATTGATTTCTCAGATCTTCAGCCTTCTTTTGGTCTGGGGCTTCATTTCTGTGAGCTTATGACCTGACAGCATCACTAGAAGAAGGATTTTTGAAATGCTGCTTTGCAGCAGTGGGAAGGGATTGCTGATCGTGGGCACATACAGAAAAGGGTCAACCCGAGACTCTGGAGGTCTCCAAAGTGAATTTCAAACCGAGAACTAGGTGAAGGTGAAAACAAAACAAAATGGCATCTTTGTAATACACAGACAACAACAGACTAACCAATAAGCAGCCGGTTGTAAAAGGAGGGAGTTGGCCTGATGCCATCTAAGATCTCTGCTAGTCTCGTATTCTACAATTATGAACAACACATAGCAGTGGCATCGGACATGAAGGCAAAGAGTCCATGCCACGTGGGTTTAGAAATCACACCAACACTCGAGTCTGCGGTCGGGTCTGGGAGGTGACACGTGTGAAAGAATTAGACAAATTCTAATTTGTCTAGTTTCTCAATTCTCCTTGAGAAACCGCTACAAGGAGAGCCAATGGGAATTCACAGAGGGAGAGTTCAGCTTGGGATGGATGGAATGCTGTCAGTCAGCTATTGCCACAATAATTCTGGGTAGCTGCCCCATGCTCCCCTTACAAAATCTCAGTGACGTGTAACAATAATCATTGATTTCATTACTAGGTCTGCAAGTTTCGGCTACCCTGGCCGGGCTCAGCTTGTTATCAGCTGATGTGGTGTGACTGAGGTCACTTGGCTCTGCTCCTTTCATCTTTCTTCCTCTCACTGGCTGGCCCAGGCACGTTCTGCTGACAATAGTTTTGGTCCAAGAGCACACATGGAAGCATTGTATCACTCTGCTACCTTCCCAGAAGACGAAGAAGGCCATCTGCGGAGTGAGCTTCGATAGCTTAGAAGATGTGCTGCCCCCGAGCTGAGGGACTGTTTTCTTCACACCTAAACTTGTCATCACGTGGTCCAGCAGAGGATCACCGAGCCGCTTCCACAGCAGTCTGCACAAGTGGTTTGCATGCTAACCTCCAGAATGTTCCAGCCTCGTCAGATAATTTCGGGGTCAGTGGAGAAGGGGAGGTGACACTTCAGGCTTTGACTCTGCATGGGGATGCAATACGATAACCCTTCATGGTGATTCTGGTCTGATTTTCTGAATTAATGCTCAAGAACTATTTCAGACCGAGTTTAGGCACCACCCCAGTTCTGCTGGTGCCCATCTCTCCCTCCCTCTAGCCCTTGGGCACCTGCGTTTGTCAGGCAGAGCAGCCTCAGTGACCACTCCCGTCCCTGCGCTTGTGAAGTACCTCACTGGGCTTCAGCCTGGCCTCTCGCTGCCACGTCTCCAGCACCAGGTCTAAACCACAAAGGCTTTGGTTTCCCTAGAAGCTTCTGGAGATGCTGAAGAACACAGCCTGGCGGTGTGGGGGAGTTAACACCTTCTGGGGTGAGCTGTGACAAGGAAGGGACAAGTGGCAGGAAGGGACTGGCTTCACGGCCCTCCTACTCCCATCAGAGTTCCAGATGCAGTGGTTCCACAGAGCTTCTTTTTTTTTTTTAACGTCTTTATTGGAGTATAATTGCTTTACAATGGTGTGTTAGTTTCTGCTTTATAACAAAGTGAATCAGTTATACATATACATATGTTCCCATATCTCCTCCCTCTTGCGTCTCCCTCCCTCCCACCCTCCCTATCCCACCCCTCTAGGTGGTCACAAAGCACCGAGCTGATCTCCCTGTGCTATGCGGCTGCTTCCCACTAGCTATCTACCTTACGTTTGGTAGTGTATATATGTCCATGCCACTCTCTCACTTTGTCCCAGCTTACCCTTCCCCCTCCCCATGTCCTCAAGTCCATTCTCTACATCTGCATCTTTGAAGGCCATTATTCAGCCTATCACGAGGCCTGTTCTTCCCTCTCTAGCGGAGCTATTTCACGCACCAGCCCCAGAATGTTTCCTAGCACCCCCTGCCCATGTCCTAATCGTACCCCTTCAGTACTTAACATTTTTGTGCATGCCAGCGCTTTCCAACTGCCTCCACCTGCTTCTCTCTCTGCCTGAAGGCTTTTGGCCACTGGGGCCTGCTCTGCCTGTGTATATGGCCGGGGGCGGGACGGGGGGAGAAGTCAAAGAACTGACGTCCCCTCCCGCCCTTCCCTCTCAACCCTGAGAGCAAGGCCTTAAGCAATGCCTGACAGCATCTGGTGGATCAATACCCCAGCTCTCTTGTTCCTTGGTTGGGATAACTGAGGTGTGTCCTACACTGCCCCCCAGAGGTCCACAGTGGGATTGCTCTCCGGTTGCTCACAGTGATAAGTAGCTTGGTAACACTCCCTTTGTTGGCTACCTTCCCTGCCCTGTCTCTCTTACTCCACTCTCCTACTGGCATGTTCTAGAATTATCCCCCAAATAAACTACTTGCACTTGAATCCTTGCCTCTAAACTAAGACACTCATCTTGCAAATATTTCTCCCAAGGCTTGTTCATGCAGTTCTCCTGCCTGAAATGTCCCTTTTCTTCTCATGCCCAACTGCTCATCTTTCTAAACCCTCTGTACCTACCAATCTCTCCTCTTCCTGCCCATCCCAAGTGATCACAATAGGCTATTATCTGTACAAATAATCGAGAGAGACAGCGTGGCATAAAGGTTAAAACAGTGGATTCTGAAGCTAGACTATATGGATTCAAAACCTTCTCCACCACTTACTGAGTGATGGTGAGCAGGTTACTTAATCTCTACAAGCCTCGACATGGGGGTGGTAATTGAACCTACCTCCTGGGCTCGCTGTAAGAAACAGATGCTAGCAGAGGCAGCCTTCTTAGTACGGCACTGGGCACATAGCAAACACCTAGGAAGTGGTGGTTATTGTTGGTCACTTTAACAAGTTAGTATCCAGTGCACTTTTAGCATTGCACGAGCCTCTTTCATATACGTATCAAATGGGTAGTCAAACAATTAATTCTGAGGAGAGTTCAATAGCATTTTCTCCTCTGGAAGGCAAGTTCTTTGAAAGCAGGGACCAGTCTGTGTTTACCTCTGCTTATACACAGTGCCTGGAGTGGTGAATTGGTGTTTGACTCTCTCTCTCTCTATATATAATTATTTATTTTTGGCTGCATTGGGTCTTCGTTGCCGCGCGCAGGCTATCTCTAGTTGCGGCGAGCAGGGGCTACTCTTCGTTGTGGTGTGCAGGCTTCTCACTGCGGTGGCTTCTCTTATTGCGGAGCACGGGCTCTAGGCACACGGGCTTCAGTAGTTGTGGCACGAGGGCTCAGTAGTTGTGGCACACAGGCTTAGGTGCTCCGTGGCATGTGGGATCTTCCCGGACCAGGGCTCAAACCTGTGTCCCCTGCATTGGCAGGCGGACTCTTAACCACTGCACCACCAGGGAAGCCCTGACAATATTTTTAAATGAATATTATATCTAAAGGACAGAAGGAGAAAGGAGAAGGGTCTGAAAAAGGACGAGGGAGGAAGGGACCACATGGGGAAATACAGTCAGCTTCTTTGTAGCTCTCCCTGGAGCTCATCGGATGCCTGAGAGGGCAGGCTGAGTGGGGCAAACAGCCAGGAAGCCCTGGGCAGCAATGAGAACCAGTTTTGCCTCTGGCCCTGTGATAGACAGGGATGTGCCACTGCTCAGATCCCGCGGCAAGGAAGGGCTCCCTGCCCAGCTGCGAGGCGCGTGGTCAGCACACAGCCTCTAGCTGCCAGCTCCTTCGGGGAGCATCTCCGCTGCCAAGAGCTGTCTGGCCTGAAGTCATGCCTTTCCCCAGGGTGGGCCACGTCATTTCTGCCCAACGTGAGACTTCCTACGGGCAATCCTTGTCCAGAGCACCCCACTGGGTTGGCCGAGTCTGGTGCACATGGCAGCTAGACCCTCCCTTCCCACCTGCCCCCCCCCCCACTCCTGCTTCCTTCCCGTTTTCCACAGGTGTTGATCTCAGACAAACTTCTTGACCCACAAACTCCACCTCTGCTTCCACAAAGCACAACCTGTGATGGGAACAAAGACTCGACCTCCTTCCAAGTTCAAGTTAGTGCTTGAGGCTCTCTTTGGAAGTTCAGGGACCCAGAACCACCTTCTTGTTTTCTTCTCTGGCAGTTTAACTCCTCAGTGATGTTAAGTGTCCTGACTTAAGCCTGGGAATGTTCTGAGCTCACTGTCCTTTGGCCCAGACAAAGAGAGCTGTTTATCTTTCAACTTCACTTAGAACGGTAAATAAAAAAACCTCATTAATTCAGACTGTTCTTATTTGGAATTTGTGATGATCCAGAGAGGGGCCCCCATGGATGTCTGTTTACTTTTGCACTATCAGGGGAAAAAGAGCCCGCCAGGCCAATGGCGACAGTGAGCACGATTGTAAAGGAACCATTTCAACAACTTTGAGGAAAAACACCCTTCTCTCGCTTTAAAAGCATCAGTTTACAGGCAGAAATTCAGGTGACATTCTTATCAGTTTATGGATCTCAAAATACTTTTTAAAGCAACCCATTGGTGGTCTAGTTGGCATCACTCTATGTTAAATTCAGTTGATTGAGCTCCCATTCCCTGTGGAGCATGAGATAGGTCCTGTGGGATGTACTGAGATGAAAACAATGCAATCTCTACGCACGAGGAGTTTACAATCACAGTGGATGCTATCACCGCATTAAATTTTTTTGTTTCGTATTTCTTCTCAAATGTTTAAAAGTGTTCCGTAAATATCTAGTCCCAGCCTCAAGCCTGGTATATACTAGCTATACAGTAAGTACTTGTTAAAC